CCCACGCTATCTCGCGTGTCGACATGGCTGGCCGTGATTTGACCGACTACCTGATGAAGATCCTCGCTGAGCGTGGTTACACTTTCTCCACCACTGCCGAGCGCGAAATCGTCCGTGACATCAAGGAGAAGCTTTGCTACGTTGCTCTCGACTTCGAGCAGGAGATCCAGACCGCTTCCCAGAGCTCCAGCCTCGAGAAGTCCTACGAGCTTCCTGATGGACAGGTTATCACTATCGGTAACGAGCGCTTCCGTGCTCCCGAGGCTCTGTTCCAGCCAAACGTTCTTGGTCTTGAGTCTGGCGGTATCCACGTCACCACCTTCAACTCTATCATGAAGTGTGATGTTGATGTCCGTAAGGATCTGTACGGTAACATTGTCATGGTAAGAAAAGGTCTCCCAGTTGAACTTGCAACATCCCACTAACACACTTTTAGTCTGGTGGTACCACCATGTACCCCGGTATCTCCGACCGTATGCAGAAGGAGATCACTGCTCTTGCTCCTTCTTCCATGAAGGTCAAGATCATTGCTCCCCCCGAGCGCAAGTACTCCGTCTGGATCGGTGGATCCATCCTGGCCTCCCTGTCGACCTTCCAGCAGATGTGGATCTCGAAGCAGGAGTACGACGAGAGCGGTCCTTCCATCGTCCACCGCAAGTGCTTCTAAGCTTCTTGCTGCACTTTTCTACTCGTATTCACTCGTACTTTCCTGGTGTATCAAAAAGCAGGATGGAGGCACTGGTGGATTGCAAGCGTTGTTGGACTCGCATTATCAAGCGGATAGCCTGAAAATGGAATCTCGATTTTAGTGGAATAGAGTCGATCGTTTTTTTTTGTTACTCTTTACCTTACTCTTTACCTCGATCTTCCTATCCATCCATCTCTGCTTTGAAACATTTTACCATTACCCTCCATTTTTTTCTTCATTCGAATGCGCTGTCCCGTCCGCTTCTCTGATTGTTTGCCTGGACGGGTTTCTGGCGCTGGGGTGACAACAGTGTACCTGTAGGGTGAGGATGCATATGGAGTTGGTTGGCTATGGGGAATAGGTTGGGTTTGCCTTTTCTCTTGACGTCTCCATCGTCCGTCTTTGTTCTAGCCTGTCTTCAGCTAAATTGTCCGACTTTGTCCGTAGTTTTAACATAACTCTGACTTCGAATATTCCATGCACTGGTTTTTTGTATTCTAGAAATGCTATCGAGAGATTTAGCGCTTGTTGAATCGTGGTGTCTATTATGCATTACTTTTGAACATCATTTGTCTTAGCTTTGTCACCGATATATATTTTCTAGCATTCAATCAGATATGCCGGATATAGGAACAATATAGCAATCTTAAAATATCTAGATCAATGAGATTCTTTCCAATATATTCAATTTCATGCATGTAGGAAAATCGCATTAGTTCGGGACACATCCAAAAGCCCTATATTATGAAAGGCAGAGAAGAAAGACGGGGAATACGAAGAACCAGAAAAATAAACAGTAACAAAAAAAATCTATAAGATATGTAGATAACCCAGGCAAATCATTTTCTCCATCCATATATAAAAAGCATCACGCATCAACATCACCATCAATATCAAATTTTAACGTCAGGATCGTGAATATTACGCAGACCAAGTCTCAAGTCCAGACAGCACACAGCCCTCTTCACCCTTGGCACGAGCACGCAGCTCACCAACGCGGTACACAGACTCACCAGCAGCCTCGAAGGTCTGACGGATAGCAGCCTCGTGGGCGGGGTCGACGGCAATGATCATACCAACACCGCAGTTGAAGGCACGAGCCATCTCGGCAGAGGAGACGTTACCGGCACGCTGGAGCCAAGTGAAGACGGAAGGCTGGGCCCAGGTGCTGACGTCGACCTGAGCAGTGAGGGTGTCGGGGAGCATACGGGGGATGTTCTCGGTGAGACCACCGCCGGTAATGTGAGCCAGACCCTTAATGGCAGAGCCGTGGGTGTTGAGTGCGCCGAGGATGGATTTGACGTAGATGCGGGTAGGGGTGAGGAGGGCACGGCCGACGGAGACGCCGGCGTCGAGGCCGGGCATGGAGAAAGGTGCGGTGTCGGTGTAGCTCAGGCCGGCACGCTCGACGATCTTCCGGACGAGAGAGTAGCCGTTGGAGTGGGGGCCGGACGAGCCGAGGGCGAGAAGGACATCGCCGGAGCGCATGTTTTCTGTGTGCGGGAGGATGGCACGAGCGTTGTCGCCCGTGGTGTTGATAGCGCCGACGGCGGCTCCGACGGCGTCGTAGGAGTCGTCGACGAAGAGGCCGGGCATCTCAGCGGTCTCGCCGCCGATCAGGGCGCAGCCGGCTTGGACACAGCCCTCGGCAACACCGGTGACGAAGGCCGCAGCGGTGGGCACGTCAAGGTGGCCGCAGGAGTAGCAGTCCAGGAAGAAGAGGGGCTCGGCACCTTGGACGACGAGGTCGTTGACGTTCATGGCGACGAGGTCGATGCCGACGGTGTCGTGGATACCGATTGCGTGGGCGATCTTGAGCTTGGTGCCGACTCCGTCAATGGCTCCGATTAGGGTGGGCGAGTGAGGGTGGTAGGCGGAGTTGGCAGCGGGCAGAGAGAAGAGGCCGCCGAAGCCGCCGATGACGGCGTCAGTTCCAGGGCGTTTGGTGCGGCGGACGGAGCTCTTGATCTGGTTGACGAGCTCGTTGCCGGCATCGATAGAGACACCGGCCTGGGCGTAGGTGAGCGAGGTGTTAGCGGTCTGGCGGAACGCGCGGTGGGCAATGTCCTTGCGGTAGAACATGTCCTCAAAGCTGATGGTCTTGATGCCCTCGTAACTCTTAGCAACAGCCTCCTCAAGGGTCGCGGCGGTGGCCGTGGAGGCGATGACACGGCCCCCAGAGGTTTGCAACTCGTTGCCAGAAAGAGTTGTGCCAGCGTGGAAGATGAGGGTTCCAGCAGGCGCGGGGGCCAGAGTGATGGTCTTGCCCTTGGCATAAGCGTTGGGGTAGCCGCCGGCGACAGCAATGACTGTGGTGGAGAAGTTGGGCTCGATCTTGATCGAGACACCGTCCAGCCAGTGGTCGGCACAGGCCACCATGATCTGTGCAAGATCGGTGTCCTTGCTGAGCAGAGGCAGCAGAGTTTGGGTCTCTGGGTCTCCACCGCGGACGTTGTATTCAAGGACCTTGGGTCCGTTCTTGGTCATCATAAGACCGGTAAACAAGATACCAACGAAGGGGAAGCCTAGACAATGATTAGGAACATGCTTTGGGAAAAGCACTTTCAAACGTACCATCCTTTCGCATTCCGTCAACCGAAGGCTGAATGATGGTGCGGTCAATCTCATCCACAACTTCTTTCGGCGCAATGCGCGTAGGCGCATAGCAGCCCATGCCACCAGTGTTGGGGCCGTGGTCGCCATCGAAGATGCGCTTGTGGTCCTGCGCTGGAGGAAGCGAGCGAATAGTATAACCGTCACTGAAAGTGAGGATACTCAGCTCATCACCCTCCAAGTACTCCTCAATCACGACCTCATCGCCAGCCTTGCCGAACTGGTGGTCCAACATCATTTCCTTCAAGGCCTTGTGGGCTTCCTCTTTGGTAGTGGGGATGATCACACCCTTACCACCAGCCAGACCATCAGCCTTGATCACCACATTGTGCGACACGGAGTCGAGGTAGCGACGTGCGGACTCGTAGTCAGAGAAGTTTCCGAATTCGGCGGTGGGGATCTGATGGCGCTGCATGAAGTCCTTGGAGAAGGTCTTGGAGCCCTCCATGCGGGCAGCAGCCTTGGAGGGACCGAAGCATCGAATGCCGACTGTTTTTGTGAGGCATTGTTAGAGTTGTTCAAAGCGATTGGTATACAGAAAAAAAAAACAACCGAAAAAAAAGAAGGAAAAAAAGAAAAAGGTGACTCACCAGCCTGGAAGTAACCCTGGATGCCATCAACGAGAGGTGCCTCGGGACCTGGTACCACGAGGTTCACCTGGTTCTTCTGTGCGAAAGCCACGAGGCCGGGGTAGTCGTCGCCCTTGACATTGGCATTGGTGATCTTGCTGTTGGTACCCAGGCCTGTGCCACCGTTTCCGGGAGCAACATAGACAATGTCGACCAAGGGGGACTCGCTCAGCTTCCAGGCGTAGGCATGCTCACGGCCACCATTGCCGACAATAAGGATGCGCAATTGTTCGGAGGCCATGTTTGGAGAAGCGTCTCGACTATGGTGGTGTTAGCAAGTAGTATAGGAACTCCGCGGGGTATTTAGTGCCCCCTCAGTCAAGGAAACCGAGTCATTGAGCAATGGGACAGGGCACACAATTGGGAAAGGCTTGATCATAAGAGAATCCACACTTACTTACCTCACAGAGACCTGAGAAGCAACTTCCAAGGTTGTATGCGGGAATGGGAAGTTCGAAGATGTTAAACTTTCACAACTTTTTTTCTGCCCTCCGGCTGGGTGTTTCTCCGACTCCAGAATTCTACCCAGCGATCTCGGCCGGTGAGATAAAATATTCTATAGTTCTAATTAGAAGATGGATTAATGGATTTGACAGTTCAAGACTGATTTTATATGTCTTATATTTAGTGTTAAGAGATAAGAGTGCAGGATTCTATACAATTGCGAATGTATAACTCTTGTATGTTGTACAATATAAGTCTAAGAAACATGGATTTTGTAGTCATTTAATCATACTACAGCATGCTTAGCTCGATTGAATATGAAGCATATAAAAAACAAAACAAAACCTACATCCAAACCTCCTACTGTCGTCTCATCGTTTGCACTATTTCTTCCCGATATAAAATATTGACACCTTAGGCACTTAGGCAGAAAGGCAACGAGATAACAACAAAGCGGTGACCCCAATCTCCTGGCAGAAAAAAAACCGGAGAGGCAATTCTGAGGTTAGCCCGGTGGCTTATTGACGGGGATTTTTTTTTAATTCTAGAATTCTTGAGTCGACAACATTTGGGGACTTCTACATTTCTATACCCTTTCCCAAATTGACTGTCGACATTTGACCTGAATGCTTCGGACTTCTTTGCGGTCTGTGTCAGGCCCTTTAAGCCGACATGTCTGTCTCTCTTGTCTGCCGCGCCCTGGCGCGCTCGGTTTGCGCCAGTTCCACCGCATATCTGCGCTCCGTACGAATGCAGATGAAATAGAGCCGAAGATCAATTCAATTGACGCGTCGACCGAGCCTTCAGTGCCGCTACCGCCCAATGTATGTCCTTCGATCCGAAGTACAACGTGAGATAAGTTCTGACAGAGTGTGCTATAGGGCCAGATCCAAGATACAAAAGATGCCGCCTCTTCCAAACCTCAGAAACCCGAGCCGTCGCAACCTAAACCGAAAGAGCTCACTGCTCAAATATGGTATGAGATGTCTGCCACACAAAAGAGCAATTACAAACGGCGGCATTACCCGGCCTTCAGAGAGTTCCAGCAGTCACTTATAGCCGGGAGAGACCTTTCATTCTGGGCAGCATACAAATTGGAACTGAGGCGGGCGAAAGCAGCACCGCGAGAGGCCATCACGTCAGATGCAGTACCGCTAGAAGCAGCACAGGTGGAAGCAGAAAAAGTCAAGGCCTTGCGGACAGCGGATATACAAGCCAAACGACAAGAAAGAAGGGCCAAGGTCAAGGAGAGAAAACGTTTGGCCAATGCCAAGATTACGACAGACGGACCAGCAGATACGCCAGCGGTCAGTGAACCCAGCAAGAGCACGCTCGAGTTGAAGTCCACTAGCAATGTAGTTGCCCAAATATTGGACGCCAGCTCTAAGAACGGTATTGCAAGTTCGAATGAGCCAACACCCACGCAGAAGGCGGACAAACCAGCACCCAAACAGAAGGCGGACAAGCCAGCACCCAAGCAGAAGGTGGATATTCCAGCACCCACCCCGTGGACGGATAGGCCAGAATTCAGGGACAATGACGAAGTCCTTGATTTCATCAAAAACCACGTTACGTCTAAAGATTGCGGGTCTGTTGACTCAACGGAGCAGAGCCTAAAAGGTGAGTTCGGAACTGATATAACTGTCGAATGTGAGCTAATCTTCCACCCAAGAGGTGCGTGTCTCCGTGCCTCCTGTCCCACGCGTCGCCTTTGGTCTCGACCGAGTGCTTTTCAAGTGAGTTGCTAAGTCTCCTGCCAATGATCGATATACTAAGAGCAGACAGTCCTGGTGTCTACCAGCTACGTGACCCTCGGTCTTTAGTCTTCAATTTCGACCCCTACCTGGACCAGATCATGCCCGTGACGGAATTTGACTTTAGTGCCTTGAAGCCATACATCACCTCCTCACAAGATGAGACGGCTTGCGAAATCACCAAGAAAAATAAGAAGAAGTACTACGGCTCATCATCGAGCATGACTTCAGTTCTCGCTCATTTCCATTATCTTCTGTCCGCGTGGCGGCCTGTCGATACTAGCAAAATTAGTCGGGGTTTCGATGACCCTCTGAGGACGTTCACCCGTCTCCTTCGAGCGCCGACTGCTATGTTCCTCCGTTATAAGGAAGAGGAGGATATTTACGCCATTGATGCGGACAAGGAATACGACCACGCTAATATTCTTATGAACCTGGGCAAGTCAATGGAGAAGCAACTCACGATGCCAAAGGATCAGTTTGAGCGCTACCGCCGCAGTGATGCGAACAAGATTACTGCTGAGGAAGAAGCAAACACCCCGGAGTCCTACCACTACAGCACCCTCGGAAAATTCCTCATGCGATCGCAGCTCGACGCCTACGATCCCAGACTTCCAGGCACTGGCATGTTCGACTTGAAAACCCGTGCGGTGGTTTCAATCCGCATGGAATCCACGGAGCACGAGCGCGGGATGGGCTACGAGATCCGACGCCGCTATGGCAAGTGGGAGTCTTACGAACGCGAATACTTCGATATGATCCGCGCCGCCTTCCTCAAGTATTCCCTGCAGGTGCGCGTTGGCCGCATGGACGGCATCTTCGTCGCATATCACAACATCGAGCGCATCTTCGGCTTCCAATACATCCCTCTCGACGAGATGGATCAGGCTTTGCACGGCACGCCTAACACCTGCCTTGGCGACAAAGAATTCGAACTAAGTCTCGGCCTGTGGGAGAAGATCCTGGACAAGGCCACGAAGAAGTTCCCCAAGAAGTCCCTGCGTTTCCACTTCGAGGCCCGCGAGGGTAACCCCCCTACATGTTGATCGTCGCGCAGCCCGTCACGGACGAGCAAATCGAGGCCATTCAGACAAAGAACAAAGCCCACATCGACGCCATCCAGGACCGCATTCTCAACCCAGACCAATACATCGACGGCCATATCCCAGAGACAGCCGTGGAGGCCGACGAAGACGAACCCCTCTATCCAGAAGAGGAGTCAGTCGAAAAGGACTTCCTGTTCCCAGGAGAGGAGTCACTCGAACCAGAGGAGTCACTCGAACCCGAACCTACCTATTCAGAGGTGGACTCGACGGAATCAAGTCTACAGGACGCTCCCCCAGTGGAATCCCTGGCCGACGAGCTCTACCCGAAAGAGGCCGGCGAGGAAGAATCCGACGCCAAAGCCGAAGAAGCCGAAGCAGAGGCATTAGAATACAAGCCCCTGTTCGAGCTGCCCGCCGAACCCAAACGCCCGAAACCAACCAAGAGCGTACCCAGACGCACTCCCCCCACATCGGCGACTTCGACGAGGACATTCTAGGCATGACGCTCATCGTGAATAACAAGGTGAATGGCGTTCCGGTGCAGCGGCCGACGTGGTTCACGGCGTCCGACAGGTGGACGATTGACTACGAGCTCAACGTGCTCAGTGTGGAAGAGAGCAACCATGTTCTGGCTGCGATCAAGCATCGTCGCAATGTGGCGTTGAAGAAGAACGTGCAGGATCATGATGCTGGTTTCTTCGCGATTTTGAAAAGGGTCACTGAGAAGGGACGTGCTTGGCGGAAGAAGATGGATCAGAAGGATCGTGAGCGTGGGCTTCTTGTTTATAAAGATTCTTGTGATATGTGAGGTTCGACTAGGTATCTAGGAGAGGATGCTTGGAGGTGGTGAGATGGGAATCCGTTTTGTATAGTATCAGATTTAATCTTCTCCCATTTGTACTGTATTTCGAGTGGGCTTAGATATACATCCGTGGCGTTGCTTTTTATATAGATTGAACGCGTTTTCGTGGGATGTTTATCAATTTTATGCATATATAGAAATGGTTGTGTTTTATAGCCTCCAATTCACTTAAACTACTCAGTCTTCGAGACTAGGAAATCAAACAGAAAGGAACAATAGTGTTTCATGCCTATCCAAACAGTATTCAATCCTCGCTCTGGAGAGGAACAACCGCAAAGAAAACAACACAATAAAATATCAAACAGCCCAAGCCCCAGACCCAATAAACATTAGCCATGGATTCACGCATGAGCGTCACTAACCCACAAAATGAGGACGCTTTCCAATAAGAGCAATAAAACAAAGAACAAAATGTCAAGGACACGATAAGACGAATAGGAAGATGTTGGCACAGAATGGAAATGGAAATGAGGAAATGAATATGGAACGCCCGGAGAATGCGGTCTTGTAAAAAAAAAATGCAACGCCAGGGTATCAGTGCCAACTGGCCGGTTTGGAGAAATGGGAATTCGGATGGGGTTGGGTCGAGTTATGAGTTAATGAGTAAGATAAAAATGTTTCACAGGGAAGGGTATATCAGCGAAACCTGGGTGTGGTTCGTCGTATATATACCGAGCCAGGCTTCGTTTCGGTTCGTGTTGGGTGAGGTGTGGAGGATTCTGTACAGGTAGTTGTGTTGGTGAGGGTGAGGGTGTAAGGAAGGCTCTAGAGACCTCCCAAGTCAAGCTTCGGTGGTGTCCAGTCTAGCTGAGGCGGCTTGTCGTCGCTGACACAAACAGGTGAGGGGCGCACTGCATCCGCACGGCGACGTTCCCTCAACGCGGTGCCGCTGAGGAAGCCTCTTAGGGTAGATGAGGCGACGCCATAGGCGCTTCGTGTACTGCCGGCGCTGAACGAGGCAGTACTGGAAGAACTGCGTCCACTGCGCACGCTCTCTGCTTTCTTAACTGCTGGGGGCACGGCTGGAACCGGGAGAGCTAGGAGAGAGGCCGAAGAACTATGACTGGATGGAGTGAAGTGTGCAGCAGCGGCGGTATGAGGGCGGCGTGTATTGGATGAAATGCGTCTTGTTTGGAAGGAGGTGGACTCGATGTATGACGAGGACTGGGATGGGGTGTCGGATGCCTCTGAAAGTCGGATGACAGCAGGAGGCTCGTCTAGCAGCGACGGCGTTCGAATCTCATCTGCCGACACGGACACGTCGAATTTGAAATTGTCAAACATCGTGCTCAGGCTCGCCGCTGTTGCGGGTCGTCCAATGCTGGCGGAATCATCATCAATTTCCTCAATCCCATGGGCAATGTTGTAGTTGCGGAGGAGATATCGATTGAGCCGAGAGACTTCGGTGTCCCATCTCTCGTTCAGAGACTGCAAGACTAGTTCAACGTTGTGGTTGGCGAATGGAGAGTTTTCCAATGCTGAGGCGACACTAGGCGGCGGCGCTTTGCTCAGTCTGTGCCCTTGCCCCCCTTGGCCAACGGTCATCGCTGCATACAGAGAACGACGGACCGAGTGGCCGGAACTTTGGTTGCCGTTGCTGGCCTCCCATCGGACATTATCAACCTCTCGGCGTACTTTGTCCAGGGACAGGACTCGGTCCCGATCCATGCAGGAGAGGGTGAGAAGGGAGCGGTTGCACCGAAGGCCGTTAACCAAGACCGTAAAGGACTGCAGATTGATATCATTGTTCTCACAATGTACTTCACGTAGTGTATCATTCTCCTCTAAGACGGAGGCAAGGGTATTTGCACCTTGAAGACCGAGTTTCTGGTGTTCAATTCTCAGGACCTTTAGAGATGTGTTCTTCTTCAGGCCAGTCAGTGCAAGATTAAGACCAATACCGAAGCGTGCAACATCAAGGTGCGCGTTATCACCGCTAATGTCCAAAGCCTCAAGAGTCTCATTCTCCTCCAGCATCACTTGCAACGATCGGCAAGTCTCAGGGCTAGCATCGTATGGGAGGGAAGCCTTTGAAATATCCAAAAATTTGAGAGTGCTGTTCTTTCGAAGTGAATCCACCAGCTCACGGAAATGGTCTTCTTTCTTGAAATCAATCATACGCATTGACAGATGCGAGGGGGTCTGATTATTCGCAATAGCGTTGAAAACGTGAGAACAGCCGTTGTCAATGCGGTTCTCATTGACATGCAGATGGAGACTGCGCGGGGAATCAGGTTCACTAGACATCGACTGCATAAACATAGCCACATCCTCTCCGGTCAGACCACACTGATCAAGACGAAGCACACGAAGGTTTCGAGAGCGATCGCTAGCTAGGTAAGTAGCAATGGCATCCACGGTCTCGCGGTTCAAAACCGTCCGACTGAGAGCCAGCTCTTCGAGTCGCCAGTTGAACAGCATTTCGGCCGTGATGAGAGGGTCGGTGCCAGAGGTCCGTGATATGCGAGATAAGTTGATTTTGCGGATTTGTCCAAAATAGCCAATGTATTGCTGGAGGACATCGGGATTCAATCGGCCCTGCACGCCTGATATGTTGATCGCCTCGAGTGTCGATTCTTGTGCGACGATAGTCGACAGAAGAAGATCTAGGTCATGTACGGATAATCCACAGTCCCCAACTTCTAGAGCGCGCAGGTGACTACGCCTTTGCGAAGCCGCATCGACAAGATAGTCCAAATCGGACTCACCTAGCTTGATACCGTTAAGCACAACCCAGTCCACGCTGGTCAGTTCTCGGCGACAGACGGGGAAGATCGCTTCTGGAATCCCACAGCCTGGATCACGAGTACCCTTGTCCAAAGTTGGTGTCGGGATCCGTGTAAGGCAGTAAGAGAAGTCGAGTCGGCGAAGCCATTTGCTCTTCAGAGCTAAAGCTCGCACCTCTTGCGAGAGGACAGTTAGACTCGTCTGGCCTGGAATATGCACGGAGGCGCCTCCTCGGTCGAGATGGACGTCGGAGTCCACCCCATGAATATCACGAAGGCCCTGCAATGCATCCAGATTGACCCCGCGGAACGAGATTGACCGGAAGAATTCATTATAGCGAAGTGCGCGCATGACAGCAATGAGTTCTAAAGCGTTGTACCGCGGGGTTTTCGGGGAAGCAGGCTTCAGCAGACGGAAGCATGGAGCATCCTCGCATTCCTGGTCGATTGTATATCGTATATTTGATGTGTCGATGTCATAACTGGCAGAGTAGGCGACCAAGGTTCGGTCGAAGCATCCATAATCTTCATCTAAAGCAACAGGCGGGAAATTGTCGTCATTTTGCAGTTCTTTCGGAACCACGAATTCGTATGGCTGTCGTACCCACAATGGGCGAAGGTATTCAGTGTGTTGTCGGATCCAACATGCAATTTCAACGGAATGAACAGAGGCCAAAAAGACATTGAATGATTTCTTGAGAGGAATCCTAAAGATCAGATGCAGGCTGTCGTCACCATACTCCATCGACAAACCAGTCAGGTTCATCAGACCAAATGAAGTACCGGCCTCCCAATCTGACAGGGATACGACCGATGATCGATTGGTTGTCTTCTGCATGGGTAGCAGATGCAGCTTGTGTGCGCCAATGGCAAGATAGCAGCCCGTGGGCGACAGCTTGGTCAGGTCATCAGAGGAAGAGCGGGTGATTGACTTGCTAGATGCGATTTGAATGACCCGGAACATGCGGAACACCTCCGGGTCGTAATCTCGCTCGTGCTCAAGCATACGGGTTACATACTCAATCGATCCCTTGCTAAATGGCATTGGACAATTTGCTCTAGCCATCTGCGCGGCTTGACGGATGCCTACCATCCAAAGGTTTAATTCCTGCAAATCAGATGTCTGCATTTGCACCAATGTGGCTTTGTTTGTGCGCTCGTCGAGATAGGCCACTTCGACCGATGGTGACAATCGTGCATCTTCCAACATGTAGACCGCGATTATGCTGTTTAGTGGGATTCCGGCAGTTGAATCGCCAGAGGCCATGAATTGCATATCCTGCAGAGAACTGACTGAAGCCACCGATTGGCGATGGGAAGGCGCAGGCCGGGTATAAGAAGCGGGAATACAAGCAAAGACATCGGCGGCTTTGCCTTGATTCTTAAAGCGAATGAGGTGGGTATCCGTCAGGACCAAATAATGACTCTTCTTCCTCCACATGCCTCCAGTCGTCTGAACTTCCCCGTGGTGGAGGATTGCAGATGACCAGATCCCATTTCGGGGAGTGGCCATGCTTTGCTCGTCCATCATCGAGCCGACGGAGGGACTCGTAGTTTCATCGTCTTCCCATGAGTGTAATGACCTCAGAGAACCAAAAACCGAGGTGCGCTTTTTCTGCATCGACTTCCTCCGCGGACGAGGGGTTTCCATGACCGGTGTGGATGGCATGCCGACGGGGGTGTCGGAGCCTGCCGTCCCAGGGCGGCGGTTATTCGATCCATCGGACGCTCTGTTCGGACTATGAGACCGGCCGAAGAAGCTAGAGTTCCGTCGGCCTTTCTTATCCCGGGTCAAGGTATCATCCGAGGGTGTTCGGGTGTGAATCGCAGGTCGGAGGGGGGCTGATAGTGTGAGGGATGGACTGAACACGCTCAGGCTCTTTCTTCGTTGTCGTTTGCCGATAATTTCAGCCATGTCTGGATCGGTAGGGCGGACTAGTGGTACAGAAGCAGGGGGAGTTGCGTAAGGTGGAAGAGTAGCGCGAGTGCTAGGCACTGAGAAAGGAAGCTTATCTCGACGACCTCAACGTCGTTCGTACTAGGGATCAATTAGTCGTGTGAAGGGTCATGACGGGGAATAACGCGAGGAAGTGAGCGGAGCAAGAATGAGGGGGAAGGTAGCACATACTATAGATCGTCACAGCGCCATGAGAAGCAATTAGCATACAATTGCTAAGATGGGAAATTGTTCCCTATATCTAAGCGCAGACAACAGGAACC